ATCCGGCTTGGCTTGGGGCATGCCGTAATGGTTACCGTAACCAGATACTCCCTTAATGTGGGTAAACGAAAGTAGCGTATACGCTACTATGAAAGAAGAAGCCGAAAAAAGACGCCGGAGTCAGTCCGCCCGAGCCAGCCAGCTGCCGGCTCGCACGGCAGCCTCTTCCTCTCGACCAGCCTCAACTTCCGTACAGTCAGCATTTTGTCGCTGCGTGCTCGTGGCCAGCTGTGGCGGCGGTCGAAGTTCGCCCAGGTTCGGTGACGAGCGCCAGACGATAGTAGTGTCTCTGTTCGCCCTGTGCATGTCAGGCCAGGCTGCAGCAGGGCACTACCATCGTGCTGCCCTGTTGCAGCCTGACTTTGCCCACTGTGCACAGTCGCCAGAGCACCACCACCGCCCGGCATCGTGTCACGGCGAGCTCCTTCTGCGCCCGCTCGCGAGGCTCTCGCGCTGGCACACTTTGGCCATCTGCTGCTCGCGTTCGGCGAGCTCATCTCCGCACTCCTGCCACGGTGCCGTCACCACACACCTTCTGGCCGGCCTGAGCCGCGCGGGGTCGCCAGCGGGGGCAACGCGTCGACCTCTCTCTCTGGTGCACCACGGGCCGCAACGGCCTGCTAGCAGCGTTGGATTTGACCTGTCTCACCCCCGAGCTCCCTCTCCACGGCGGTCTGGGATGTAATGCCGGAGGGTATGCGATGTGCCGATTCTGCGGCTTTGGGCAGTATGCTGGATGCGTGCTGCAACCTCCTTCTCCCCCTTTCGCCCACCTTCTTTCAACCACGGCGAACAACCCCTTCGGAACGGCCTTCGCGGGCGGCGAACAACCCCTTCTTGCCGGCGGAGCCGACGCCAGCGAGGTCTTCCTCGTCGACGTCCGTTCCGAGCAGCGCCGCGAACCCGTTGGAGTCGACGCGGCCGATCGGGGTGGGGATCTTGGTGGTCTTGTTGGAGCGGTCGACCAGGTTGGACTCGCCCTTGCGCTCGATCTTGCGGAGCGGGGAGGGGGTCTTCCACTCGTCGATGCCCTGCGCGTGACGTGCGGCAGAGGTCACAGGATCAATGTAAGTGCCCGCCTGTAGGAATCCCGTGTCCCCGCAATACCCGCGTGTGCGGAGAAAGGTGGTGGGAAGCGCTCACCGACGGGGCGGGCTCCTTCTCTGGAAACTCCTTGGTCGAGACGTTCCAGTCGGCGTCGCCCTACGCATCACGCGAGACGGGTCAGGTAGTGGGTCGGCAGACGCCGGCGCGCGCAGAAGGCCAGGCGCTCGCCGCCGCGGCGGGCTCCTCCTCCGGAAACTCCTTGATCGACGGCAGCGGCGAGCCGCCGGCGGTGACCGGCTCGAGGGCCGGCGCGTCTTCGGTGACCGGCTTGAGAGCCGGCGCGTTTTCGGCCGGAATGATGCGGGCCTTCACTTCCGTCTTGTTCTCTGACATGTTGTTGATCGAGTCACTCGTACCTGCGATAGGGGTGGGTGGGTGGCG